CGTGAGTGCGGTACTGTCGCGAAAGAAACAGCGGGAAGTACCGGAGTCAAGCGTGAAGGTGTGCAAGGCCTCAGTAGGCGCAGTACCTGAGACAGCAGACTCTCTAGCACCTAAGGCAGCAGCCTCACTAGCACCTAGAGCAGGAACCTCTATACCGGGGTCGTGCTGCACACACAGGTAACACTCACCCTCAGCACCACCAGGCAAAGCATACATGGCAGTAAGGATGGCGTCATAGTCTAAAGCAAAGACATCAACGCCCGACCTAAGCAGCTCAAGCCAGTGGGGGATCTCAGCCTCGTCTCCAAACTCTGCGTGCAAGGCGTCACTCAAATAGGACAAGCAGCGGGACTGTGCGTAACCAGCTGTCCCACAGGTCTGACCAGCTCGACAACCTGTGCGAATGACGTACGGGCAGTGACGAGGACTCGGAGACGTCCCACGCTGGTAAAGCCACTCACGAAGCCGCCGGGGCGTAAGGGTCGAACGTCGCTGTAGCTGCATCTGGCCACCACCAGAAACTCCGCACCGAACAGCGCCACAGTGACTGCTACTACGGTCGCCACCACTCCCACTGCTGCCACCACCGCCGGCACCACCCCCACTGCTGCTGCGGAGTGAAGTCATGGCGGGCAAGCTAGGAGGAGCGTGGCATCTAGGGCAGGACGGAGTGAAGGCAGTAGCACGAGTTGCAGCAGCAGCAGTAAGAGCAGCAGAGTGGCTCGGCGAGGCTAGGCTGTAGCACCTCCAATACTCCTAGCAGTACCTCCACCAGCAACAGCAGCAGCAGCAGCAGCAGGGTGGATCGGGTTGGGCAGGGCGGCTCGTGCTGGGCGGCGGGGCAGCAGGGCGCGACGCGCGGGCTACAGCAGGGCGCGACGCGCGGGCAGCAGGGCGCGGCGCGCGGGCTGCAGGAGGGCGCGACGCGCGGGCTGTAGCAGGGCGCGATACGCGGGCTGCAGCAGGGCGCGACGTGCGGTGCAGCAAAGCGCGACGCGCGGGCTGCAGCAGGGCGCGATGGCGGGCTGCAGGTCGCGACGCTCGGGGCAGACGTAGGGCGCGACGCGCAAGGCAGCAGGGCGCGACGCGCAAGGCAGCAGGGCGCGACGCGCAAGGCAACAAGGCGCGACGTGCTTGCTGCAGCAGGGCGTGCGCAGGGCATCGCGACGCAAGGCACGGCAGGGCGTGCGCGGGGCAGCGCGACGCAAGGCAGGGCAAGGCGTGCGCGGGGGAGCGCGACGCAAGGCAGCGCAGGGCGTGCGCGGGGCAGCGCTACGCAAGGCAGGGTGCGCACTATAGGCGCAGCGCAGGGCAAGGCGTGGGGTAACGCGTTAACCGCAGTCGGTCACTAGGTAATGGTGGGCCCGAAAATAAAGCGGTCCTACGGACCTACTGCTCTGAAACCATGTCAGAAACTAACGAGCATGAATGGCTGCATTGAATGAATCGTTGGTACAAGTGCTAACCCTAACATTGGGTTGTACCCCATATGGGCTACCCCACTATAGCCTACATAGAACTAGCACATATATAGTTTGACACGGGTTAGCGGATGGGAGGGGTGGAAGGTGTTTGACGATGGTGGGAAAATCGGTCGAGGGAGAGGCCTCACCATTCTCGCTGTCGTCGTCGCTGTCATCTTCGGGTGCGTTGGGGGACGCCGCAGTTGCAAGGATAGCATCCCAATCCGCTAACCAACTGGGATAAAAGGGCATGTTTCCTTGGTGGGTCAACGCATCCATACCCCCCCAGGACGGCACCCTGTAGCCCTTGGGGAGACCACTTCGGGCCATTCCATTGTCCACTTCTAACACTCCCCTCACTGGGAGGGCCCACCACTAGGGCACAGAATGTCGCCAGCAGCAGGAATCAAACCCCGGTCCTCCACGCTCACCGCGCCATGTCCAGTCCGCTAACCAACTAGGCTAAAAGGGCATGTTTCCTTGGTGGGTCAGCGCACCCATACCCCCCCAAGACGGCACCTGTAGCCCTTGGGGAGACCACTTCGGGCCATTCCAGTGTCCACTTCTAACAGCAGTTGCTGGGTTGAAGGCAGTGTCGGCGTGACGCGGCAGCATAGCGGCGCGCGAAGGAGGGGAAGACTCGCATTTTTTTTTTTTTCGGGATTTGCAGATACATTTGTATCGTTTCCGGAAATCGAACGGGTAACACTCGGTTGCTGCTGGTGTAACAGCGCAGAAGCGCTGTTACCTGCTCCGGCGAAAGACCTGGGGGTTCTCCTCCTCCGAGCAAAACTTTGACAGCAGTGGTGGGGGGGGTTTTTTATCAGAGTAAATTACTCTGTTTCTCTGAAAATCAGAGTGGTTTTTAGGGGGTCACTCTGACGTGTCTGGGTAAGTTTTTTGGAGGATAAGTTTTCTCTGATTTGTCAGGGTTCTGATTTTAGCTACTCTGAGAGACCAGTGTATATTTGTGGCGGATGTACTTTTCTCTGTACAGGGTATAGGCATTTCGACCGACCCTCCCTCCCCCCCCCCCGCGCCCCCCAATTGGTGGGTTAAGCAGAATATATAATGTCCGTAAGCTATCTTAACGATGACCGCGTAGCACAACGCTTACCGTAGTTTTTTGGTAGGAGTGCAGAAGGCCTGGGTTCAATACTTGAGAGGGCACTCAGAGTTGGAAAAATAGGTACACTGGGTGCCCAGAGTAATTTTTTCAGAAGTGAAGTTTTCTCTGACAAATCAGAGTAACGCTCATAATGAACCCTGAATTTCAGAGTTCCCTAGAAAACAGCTCTGGAAATCCGAGTAGTGAAAATCCAAAAAAAAGCCCTGGGTGGGGGTCTTCCGTTTAGGCTGACGTTCGGATTCTCTCGCTTTTTTTCCGGACTCGGAAATAGGACGGGCGTTCCCGTTCGTAGCCTCGTCGCGGTTGTCGTTGGACGGAGTCATTGTCGCTAAGTTGTGGTTGAAAATGTTCGTTAGAAGCATTGAAGGAAAACTGAACCGAGGAAGGGAGCGAATCCTTGCCAGCTTGACGAGCAAAAATCTGAACTTGAAAGTTCGAAAATGAAAACGTGGGTGAGGCCAAATGGCCGAAACCCCTTCTTTAATAGTCGGGGAAGGGCGAATAGCGCTTCGACGACACCTTCTGATGCTGCGTACAAGCTGCTTCATTTTCAAATAAGGTAAATTTAGAAAGTGTAACACTTACGAAAACATACATATAGTGAGACATCCTAAAAGGTCAGCCTGCATAAATTGTATCAGAGCGAGGTTTCAATCCTCGGACCTGTGGGTTATGGGCCCACCACGCTTCCGCTGCGCCACTCTGATATGGCAGGTAAAAATCATTATTTTAAATAAAACTATTATTGTCAATCACTGCTTGTTGACAGATCAAGTCAACGCAAAACCTTCTGAGTCAATTCGTCAACAAGGACCCTAAGTTCATACAGGTCAACAGTCAGTAAATGTGTGCATTGTTATCTCAGTGCTACTGGCTGTACAGCAAGTATTGATCGCACCACATGCCCTCTCTCATCCATCCATACCACACTACCATATGAAAACGCTCCCGTCAGGGACGGCTTGAGCACCGTCAGGTTCACGCCATATGTCACCATTTGCCCAGGCTTTATCGTGAACTTACTCGGCTTCACGACAACCTTCACATTACCCGGAAACATTGCTATTTTCGCCTCATAAGTGCTCGTTGACTTGGATACGCTCGTGACTGAACGTTTCACCAGCACGGAGCCTCTCAGCCGTCCGATGGAAATTGATGGACGGTTGAGCCTGTATGCTTTTTTGGGCTTGAGTTTCCACTTGGGCCAAAGCTTCTTTGCTCGCGTCATGCTTTGCCCTGCAAGGAAGTTCAGGTAACTGTATATCCCTGCGTTGAATGTCAGTCCTGGGTCAAGAATGGATGGAGGGTAGATATGGCCTTGGCCCATGTCCCAAGGCGTGGCAATTTTGCCCGAAGATGTTCGAATGGGAAGGTAGACCAGGGAGGAGTTGGTGGTGGTGCTTGAGGTTGTGGCTTTGTGTCTGCTGCTTCTCCTAAGGCTTCTGCTGCTGATGCTGCTGCTGCTGCTGCTGCTGCTGCTGCTGCTGCTGCTGCTGCTGCTGCTGCTGCTGCTGCTGCTGCTGCTGCTGACAATCCCTCTATTATATCTGCTAGTTTCAGAATTTCTTCTGCCACTCCCAGAGTCAGCTGCTAGTGAAAGCCTCAAACTATCCTCTCCTTGCACTCCCAACCCTCCCCCTCCTGCCTTGCCCTTTTCCAGCCTCTCCGCCCTTACTATCTGCCTATTCCTCTCCAGACTCCGTACAGGCCTTCCCGTCACAGGCCTCCCTGCTATAGGCCTCCTCGTTACAGGCCTCCCCGGTACAGGCCTGGAGACTCTAGGCACTTGATGCAGCGGCGGCAGTCCCCAGCTTGGAACCCCGTCCATCACACGCCTAGCAGGAGGAGGATTCACACGCGCTCCTCCCGGCCCTCTGGGCTGACGTGGCCGAAGCTGTGGCTGCTGCGGGTGCTGCAAGTGCAGCGGGTCCCGTGGTTGCAACGCAGTGGGGTTCCTTGGCTTGACCCGGGCCATGGATCCTGCGGGTTGGGCGTATGAGCTTCTGGCGGTGGTGAGAATGGCAGACATGACCTGAGCGGGCGTCCACCCGGGGTGCGCCTGAACGACCATCGCTGCGATGCCAGCCACGTGGGGGGTAGCCATGGACGTCCCGGAGAGGAGGGCGAAAAATGGTCGCGTGCGTGTGATTGCTGTTGGTCTCGACCGTGAATCGTCTGAGAGTAAGCCGTTGCTGGTGCGGGATATGCCAAAGCTGTTGTTGTTGTTGTTGTTGTTGTTGTTGTTGTTGTTGTTGTTGTTGTTGTTGTTGTTGTTGTTGTTGTTGTTGTTGTTGTTGTTGTTGTTGTTGTTGTTGTTGTTGTTGTTGTTGTTGTTGTTGTTGTTGTTGTTGTTGTTGTTGTTGTTGTTGTTGTTGTTGTTGTTGTTGTTGTTGTTGTTGCTGCTGCTGCTAATGCCTTTGCTGCTGCTGCTGCTGCTGCTGCTGCTGCTGCTGCTGCTGCTGCTGCTGCTGCTGCTGCTGCTGCTGCTGCTGCTGCTGCTGTTGTTGTTGTTGTTGTTGTTGAACTCCCTGCTTCCCCTCCACGCGTCACCATCAGCAGCTCTGCTCCGCACCTCCTCCCGCCTCGGCCTAACAACAGCCATCGGCGAAATGGGGCTACGCCTCTGCCCAGTCCACGCAGCCCAAATGTCCACCCCAGGCGCAACCACATCGGGCTTTAAGATATCATTCGTGGGGTAGGGCGCGGTCGCGCCAAACCTCGGGTTCACCGTGGGGCCAGTGGAGGAGAACGACGCAATCATGGGCGGCGCGGCGTTTTCCAAAATGTGGCACCGGGCCATGATGGTCGCAGTAGGTTTGGGCGTGTTCTGGATGTAGGCTCGGATGATCCGAGCCTGCGCGAGATTGACGTGGATGAACGGGATGGGCGCGCCGGCCGTGGCAGAGAGGGTGTTGAGGTCGATTAAGCCTCCGTCTTCGTTTGCAAGGATCATGGCTACTCCTCCGGCTGCTGCCACTGAGCGCAGCTTGTCTTGGACTCCCACCATGCCCCGCGTGCAGAGGACTATGGCTCCCCGTGCTCGTGCAGGGGAGAGCGATTCGGGTAGGCAGTGGGTGGCCTGGTGTTTGGGGGGGAAAGGGATGGGATGGAATGGTTTGGGATGGGATGAGATGGGAGTAGCAGGTTCAGCTGCAGCATAAGCATGAGGATTAGCATGATTGAGCAGAAGCAGAGAAGGCAGGAGACAACCACGAAGCACCCCTTGACAATCCAGGAACTCTCAATATCCATCCCAGGTACCCAGTATTTCCTAACCACCAGCGCTATCCGGCACCCAATGTAGATGCTAGCAACCAGCTAATGTGCTAGCGCGACTCATCCTTACCAGTCAGCAACTGCTTACCCCCTCTCTCCCCCCACACGCGCACCACTTCCCCGCCACCACTGCAGTCTGCAGCAGCTCACCCTGTCCAGAGAGCTGTCGGGTCGGGCAGCGTCGGCAGCAGAGAGCAGCGGCAGGTGGCGCATTTTGACACACTTCAGAAATTCCCCTCCCCGCATTACTCGATGTACCTCCACCACTGCAGGAACTCACACTCTGTTCGAACCGCTTGTCCCCCCACCCACCCACCCACCATAACCCCAACGCTACAGCAGCTCACCCTTTCCCAGTAAGCAACCAGTCATCCCCCCCACACCCACCCCGCACCCCAATCGCTGCAGCAACGCACCCCTGCCAGTGACCTTTCGGGTCGGGCAGCGTCGGCAGCAAAGAACAGCGGCAGGCTGATTTCCCCAACCACCCACCGCACCCCCACCACATGCAGAAGTGACTTCAGTGTCGACTCAAACGCCAGCACCAGCAGCAACTCACCCCTTCCAGAGAGCTTTCGGGGCCGGCAGCGTCAGCAGCAGAGAGCAGCGGCAGGCGGCGCGTGGCATAGGTGCCCGAGCCCACTCCAGAGGCGTACACCACCCTGCCACTGCCCAGTCTCAGCTCCGTGAGGAACCGGCGGCCTATGGAGCTGTGGGTAGGATGGATAATGGATGGGTAAGTGGGAGGGGTTATGGGAGAGGGGAGGCAGGTGTATGAGCCCACTCCAGAGGCGAACACCACCCACTGAGCCCACCGCCCAGCCTCAGCTCCGTGAGGAAACGCTGTCCTATGGAGCTGGCAGAAGGAGCATGGAAGAGGAGAGGAGGGTAGAGCAGAGGAGAGAGGCGTGTGATGAAGAGAGCCCACTCTCCAGAGGCGTGCACTACCCACTGAGCCCACTGAGCCCACTGCCCAGCCTCAGCTCCATGAGGAAACGCCGTCCTATGGAGCTGTGGGTAGCAGGGTGGGTGGGTGGATGAGGGGGGGATTCCCAGTAATGAGGGGGTGTGTGGGTGGGTGTGGAGGAGAGGGTGATTGGAGCTGCTCGGAGCGGGGATTGATAGGGGAGGGAGAGAGAGAAGAGCATTGGAGAGGAGGGAAGAGCAGAGAAGGGGCATCACCGAGCAAGCCGGCACACCAAAAGACTCATTATGATGTGTCAAACCACACCAGCATGAAAACCACCCAATCACACAATCGCTTCAATATCACCCAATTACATCTCAGCCCATCCACCTACCTCGCCCCCACAGTCAGGTAACACGGCGAGAAGTTACTAATCGTGCGGTAGATCCCAAACCGGTTCCACAACCCCAGGTTCGGCGCCGGGCCTTGATTCCCGGCCGCCGTAACCACCACCATGCCCGCCTGATTCGCCAGCAGATACAGCAAATCATCAAAGTAATGCTGATCCGGACCCAAACCACCCAGCGACAGTGACAGCACGTCAACCCCGTCTTTAATAGCCCGGTCTATGGCGTAATGCACGTCTGCCAGCTCGCCGTAGCCGGCGAGAGTGGCGTTGGTCCAGAGGACTTTGTAGACTGCGAGATGCGCGCCGGGTGCCATGCCACTCGCGATACCGAGCGAGCGCACGGGGGGGCGCTCGGATGTGAGTACGGGCGTGCCGCCCGTGCCTGCTGCTGTGCTGGTGAGGGTGGGGCAGGGTGGGGTGGAGTGGGGTGGGGTGGGTGGGATAGGGTGGCATAGGGTGAGATGGGGTAACACGGGGATGGAGTGACATGGGGATGGGGTGACATGGGGATGGGGTGACATGGGGATGGGGTGACATGGGGATGGGGTGACATGGGGATGGGGTGACATGGGGTGAGATGGGAATGGGTGACATGGGGATGGGATGACATGGGATGACATGGGGATGGGGTGACATGGGATGCCATGGGGATGGGATGACATGGTATGACATGGGGATGGGGTGACATGGGATGCCATGGGGATGGGATGACATGGGATGCCATGGGATGACATGGGATGACATGGAGATGGGGTGACATGGGATGCCATGGGGATGGGGTGACATGTGATGCCATGGGATGACATGGGGATGGGGTGACATGGGATGACATGGGGATGGGGTGACATGGGGATGGGGTGACATGGGGATGGGGTGACATGGGGATGGGGTGACATGGGATGGGATGGAAACGTAGGGGGAAGAAGTGGAGAAGAAGATCAGGCTAGGTGGTGCCAGTGCCTCGGAGTAAGGGGAGAGAGAGGAGGGAGGGAAAGGAAGGGGAAGGAGTGGCGATGTTAACTTGCAGTGTCCCTTGTCTCACGGACACCACTAGAAGTGCCATGGGTGTTACTTTTGAGAATTCTCAATATATCATGGGAGAATGTTCATCCGTTGCTCTCTCTGGTCGTGCCTTGCACACCCCCCTTACCCTGCACACCACGTGCCATGGCCGTCCGCGTCGCGCGGCGAGCGGAAGTCGTATTGCGTGTCCACCACGCCGCCCTGCGCCTCGTACGCGTGCGAGAAGAAGCGCGCGCCCACCAGCTTGCACGTGCACCGTGACGCGGGGAAGTCGCGCGTGCGCACGCATTTGCCCGCCCACCGGCGCGGCGGGCGCGGGTACACGTGCGAGGACTGGAGCGGATGGGGAATTTATGTTGGGTGGACGGGGGAAGGCGGATTGGGGGTGGAGACGTGTCTGGGTACGTGCGTGGGTGGATGGGTGCTTGCAAGTGCGACTGCATCCGTGGGAAGGGGAGGAGTAGAGAGGATTCTTATGCGCCAGTGGCCTAAACGCGCATTCTTCTGCCCGAGAAGCAAGGAGAAGAAACAGGAAATAATGAACACCCTCCAATTAAGCCAATGGATCTTGAGACATTTCCAGCAAGCAGCAGCGTAGGAGAAAGTTTAGCTCAGGGGAAAACAGTTGTTCAGTGGAGTCAACGGAGTACTCTGTGGTAATAATAATAATGAAATTATCTTACGTTAGCTACTCGGAACGAAGGGTGCTCGGGCCATATTCCAGTGTCCACCACGCCGATCACGACTCCTTCACCTGCCCGGCTCCCCCCGCCGCTAGATTTCCACATGGATCCGGGCAGCTGCAAAAATCTCGGTGTGTAGGTGGTAGCGGACCGGACGCCATAACTCCTGGTGACGTCAGCGACCATGGCGTGGCGCTTTAATCTCCTAACGTCCGCTTGCGTGAGGCGCGCTGCGAAGCCATTGGCTGCAAAGTTGTAACTGGACGAGGTGGGAGGGGGTGTGGGAAGACCATGGGTAGATTAGTACCAGTGCAAACCTTGGGAACTTCTTGTCTAATCACATCCGCCATCTTCCATCCAGCCATCCCTGTCCCTTGACCCAGCCACCCCACCAGCTAAGCCCGCCTGTACGGTGTGCTGGTGTGCGGTTTGAAGAGAAGCAATTCACGTACGCAGCATCCATTAGGCCAACACGCCACCTGCTGTGTGCTGCTGTGTGCCGCTGTGTGAGCAGTCAACTCAAAACGGACACGTCAACTCATGAACACCCTGGTCACCGACCGCACCAGTTGCTACTGCTGTTGGTGAATACGTCAACTCATTCACAGCGAGACTCCCTGCTCTCTGCTCCCTGCTGCTTACTGGCAGGTGTCAAGGACCCATAAACACACAACCTCCAGCTCACCCACGCACAGGCCCCACACGCTCCCCACTTTGGCAACAGCTTGCCTCGCTCACACGTGCCCTTGCCACACTGCCTGCTGCTGCGACTGTCGCTTGAATCCACTCAGAATCTCATTCATTCACGCATCCAACCATAGTTTCTGTACAAAAGTCCACGGGTCCCACCAGGGAGACAGCCCCGCACGCACCTGTAGAGCATGTTGCGCTCGCTCACGCGGGTCTCCGCCACCACCTGCTGCTGCTGCTGCCACTTTTGCTTTGATCCGATCCCAATGTCACTCATCACCCAAGCACCCATGCACCCATGCACGCATGCACGCATGCACCCATCCACCCCATGCACCCATCCACCCCATGCACCCATCCACCCCATGCACCCATCCACCCCATGCACCCATCCACCCCATGCACCCACGCACTCGCAACTACAACGGTCAGCAGCGCGCACCTGTACAGCATGTTGCGCTCGCTCAAGCGGGTCTCCGCCACCACCTGCTGCTGCTGCCGCACCAGCATGCGCGCAAACGCCTTCACGTGCGCCGCCTGCACGTTCACGCGCACTCCGCGCGTCGCCGGCACGGGTCCCCGCGGAACCTCCTTCCCCCCCGCGCCGCCGCTGCCAGTCCGTGGTTTGACGCTAACGCGGATACCCGCCATATCTGGAACATCCGACTCGGTATTGTTATTATCATCTCCGTAATTATCTTCGTCGTCCTCGTTATAGTCATCATCGTCCAACTCGTCATTCTCTTCCGCGTCAGCTGCGGTCGTCATCCCGTGAGGTCTAACTCGTTTTCCATTCCCCCTTGCCGCGGCTACCGCTGCTGCTTCCGCGACAACCACAGGGGAGGCGGTCGCGGGGAAACCGGGGATTCCGCCGACGTATGCGGGGATGGCGGGCGCGGAGCGCAGGCGGACTATGTAGACGGCGGGATGGCCGCCTGATATAAGGAAGGGACGTAAGGGTGGGGGAAGGGGGGGTTGGGGGTGGTTGAGGAAAGGGGAGATGAAGGACGGGAGGAAGGGCACGAAGGTCGGGGGACTGGCTCTAGGAAGGGAAAGGGAGGGGAGAGAGGGGCGCAGGTTGTGGGAAGTAATAGATGGCGGGAAGGTGAAGAAATCACAGGCGCAAAATGGAGAGAAGAAGAAATTGCAAGAGGGAGAGCAGCAGAAGCGGACATGCCTGGAACGTCCCGAGAGTCGACGGTAAGAGGCAAGAGATGCAGCAAGAGGAGAGCACAGCGAAGCAACCACGCGCTGCCATGCCGACAGTATAGCCCCCTGCTCTTTCCTCCCCGCTGTCCCGGCCCTCGCTCCCACCCGCTGCCGTGCCACTGCCGCTGCCTCTGCTCCTCTCGCCGCACTCGCCGCACTCGCCGCACCCGCCGCACCCGCCGCTCCCGTCGCTCCTGCTGGAAAACGCATTTCTGTTCCTCGTCGCGCTGTCTCCATCTCGCCCTTCCGTTTCGCGTTTCTCTACAACTCGCCTTATGCCTCCCCCTCAGGTTTGCCCGTCGTCTCCCTCTCTGCTTCCCTCTCTGCCTCCTGCCGCGCAGCTCTTCGTTTTGCCACTCTATCGTGTGCTGCGCGTCGCGCTGCCATAGACGCGAGAAGCACGGCTCCGTGAGTTCCGTCCGCCGCTGCTCCCTCGTCTCTTTCGGTTTCTCTACGCAGCGCCATCGCTGATTGTGTATCATGCAACGCTGCTTCGGCTCTACCGGCGAAGGCTGACGGTTACACGGAAATGTTACCTTTACCATGGCTTTAACCATGGTTATTGGAGGAAGTAGTAGGCTATAAAAGTCGCATTGTAAAGCTAAGGTGTCTGTGAGATAGTACCGTTGCCATCTACTCGCTCCTGGTAATCATTGCTGGTTCTGCATGATAACAAGTGGTGGCAGAACTACTCAGAGAAACACTCGGGTGGCTGACTTTTACTCCTATGTTGGTACTCTGTGGTTTTCTGCTGGCGTGACTAGAGAATGACGCTTCGTCGCGCATTTCCTATATTCGCATTAAGAGCATTTGTTAGACTTTCTAAATACGGCGTCCGCCACCAAATCACGTACTTACCACCTCCATCTCTCCATCAGTACTTGGGAGCTCGGTTCTTTGCTGCTCGAAATACTTGTTCGTTCCTCCATTATTGGAACAACCATCCTCTCCCAAGCTTCGAGTTTTGTTGCTCTGTAAGAAACGGCGAAGAATTTCATGGTATGTCCCCTCCACTCAATTCCAGAATGCGGTTATGCGCGGCGCGAACCGAACCAACCAGGGCAGGTGCACAATGGGCGACCTGATTTTCCCAAACCTTTCTGTTAGTGGTTCTCAAGGGCAGTCTATAAAATTCTCGTTGTGGGGGTGGCTGCCCCATGCAGCCGCAACACGTCGTTGGGTTCGGTGGGGGCTCGGGAGATTAGGCACGTCAGCAGCGCCTCTTGAACTTGTGAGGCAAGGAAAACTTGTAGCGACGTGAGCGAGGTTCGTCGTGAGGTAGTTTTTGCAATGCAAACCAACTTTTCTCGACCAAAGCATCGTGCAGGTATGGTAACCAGAAAAGGTTTCCACGTCCAAAGCACTGAGCTAAGGGCGAGAGGATGCGGTGCGTCGGTGTACAGCAAAATATAGTGCTCTCAAAGCATTCTTCCTCCTTACAGTGTATAATACAACAGCCCTCTAAAAAACAAAGCAACCATAAGAAATTGTCCACTATCGTGACGCCGAATCCCCAATCTTTTTCAATTCCAGTATGCTCTCGAGCATCAACTTCCTCTCACCAAGGCTCTTCACGCTTAAATCGTCCCGTAACTCGGACGTTGTCAGGTTGAGCAGAACCTGTGGAAAATCAAGCAGCAAAACAGCTCGTTATTTGGAAGCATGAAAACACCAAAACGTAAATGAAAGAGATCAGTGCGGTGAAAGCACTCACCCCACCACAGACGCGTTGTTCCTTGAAAGTGTCTGCATATGCACCAAAGCCTTGCAGCTCAAGCCAGGAAGCCACCTGATCTACTGACCAAGAAGATGGATCTCCTGTCAAACACAACCACAAGCACAAGCACGATACAACAAGCAAAAAAGCCACAAATGAACAAGGGAGTCCTTGTCGATAACTCACACAGTTCCAGCAGTCGAAGTGATCTCCCGACAAAATGCAATCATCTTATGTTAAGAATAGCAAGCACTCACCCATCTTCCGCACACTCTTCTCAATCAGCTTCTCGTCAAACTTCTTCATCCGCTTCCGCTCCTCTTCCTCCAGCCATACCCCTGTCCCACTGCCACTCCCCTTCTTACTACCACCACGCTTGTTATCGCTACTCATGAAAAAGCTTTCCGTTTCACCTCCTGCATCCCTTCGTTCCCTGACCCTCCTCCCATCAGCCCTATCCTCCTCGTCCTCACTGCACTCAATGTAGTCTACCCACTTCTTCCATTCATTATCCTCACTTGAGGCGCCATTGAACCACCTCCTCACGCCAAGCTTATTCAGCGCCTTCTTCATCTTCTCCCGCTCCTTGGGGCTCAAGTCAAGGTAATCCATCATCTCGCTTTCAAAATCACTGCTGCGCTTCCCTCTCTTCCCCCGCCTTCCACCGCGACCGGCTTTATCACTGCTGCGGGAACTGGATCCGCGATTGAGCAGCCCAAACGACCATGCCGCTCCTAATATAGTCGCGATGAGGGCGAAAGCTGCCCCTGCGGTCCCGACCGCGGCTGCTATTCCGAGCTGTATCGCGGGGATGAAGAGCGGGAGCGAGAACAGCAAAACGAAGAATGCGATGGGGAGGATAACGGAAACCGCGACCATGGCGAAGGTAATCGCGACGACCGCTTTCAGTGCGGCTCCGACCACGAACACAGCGGCAAACGCGGCGACGATTGCGGCGACCACGGGACTGAAGATCCCGAGAAACGCGCGGGGCTGGCGAAGGGACACCGAGCTCGCTCCGCGGCCCGACCACACGTTGGGAGAAAAATCAGTTTGCTGATCGTACGCGCGTTTGCGGAACTGCATGGACTGATCGCTTGCGGTAAACGCGGACGTGAGTGCAGGCGCGGCCCGGGGTGACAGCAACGAGGGGATTGATTCTCGCGACGGGTAGCGCCGCGGCGGGTGGCTGTGGATTCTCGTGAAGAGATTGGCTGCTCTATGGGCTGCGTTAGTAGCGCTGCTGCTGCTCCAAGGTGACGACGCGCCCGACGCGGACGATGCGGCGAAGGATGCGGACTCCGTTGTCGAGAAGTAACGACTGGTTGGACTCCCGACGACCGCGCCGTGCGTAAGAGCCCGAGTCTGTGCCGCCGTTCCCACCGCGCCGCTGCAGGGATGATAACTTGTGGTTGCATCATTGGTCGAAAGGAACGAGGAGGTTGATGCGCGGCACGGCCTCGCGACGGGAGACGAGTGGCTCGCGCTCGTAGTACTGATCTGGAATCGGTATCGTTGACTGCGGAAATTCAACGCCGGCTTAGCTGGAACAGATTGCACAACAGCCTGGTGCGCTACGAGCATTGCGCCTGCGAACACGCCCATCGACGCGTCCCACTTTACTGTCCAAAACACCGTGGTGGTAGTAGTGGTTGCAGAATCTCACGGTATGGAAGACGCTAGCGCTTCTACTACTCGTCGGCAATACCCAGGATGAGGTGAGGGCACACAAGTGCTACTACTTCTACTCGCGCTAATGCGGGCGATGAAAAGTAACGGCCGCCGTCACGTCCGCGGCGCCACGCAACGGTGGCTGACCTGGAATTACGCTAGTGCTGACGACGACCTCAAGTCGGGATAATCCAGTATAAGCTTACGGGGAGCCTAAGGAACAAGGCGGGGGGGAACCAGCGAGACCACAACGCACAACGACGAGAGCAGGCTTGCCTGGTTAGGGGGCTTCTCATAAGCGACCGGCGGAGGAGAATAGGCGATAAGAAGAATACGATGATGATGTCATACCACGCACGCGGCCCGTGCCTGCTGGCCTGAGGCAGGGCGTATCTATGGCATCGCTTTGGTGTCATAAACAGTGTACTGGTCGGATCGGGTCGGGTCTGGTGGGTTGTAAAGCGGCGAAAGGGCAGGATGGCGTGCAGCACAAGCAACAGAGGTAAGGAGCCGTACGCGGTACACGCTGCTCGCGAATGTGCAGCTCAGTCTTTCCCTGCTTACATATACGTCCTTAAATCCGGACTTGCCTTATTTTCTTGATATTTCTTGTCTCACTCCACCCTGATTTCAATAATGCTGATTCTCTAGACTTTTTCCTTAATAACAATACAAGGTTTTATATCAATCTCAAGGGTTAAACACCAGTATGGAATAAACCCTGATCATGTCCATACTAACTTTTGTTCCTTCTGCTCAAATCTGACTAATTATACACTGGTTTGGTCTGTAGGCGAAAACCAGTGGGGCACTTGTGGGTCTAAATACCGTACTCATGGCACTCATGCACGAGTCACAACTTGCTTGCTGCCCTGACTTGCTGCTGCTGATGCTCGAAGCTGTGCGATCAGCCTTCTAGCGGCTGGGGAGGGGAGCATGCCAGTGGAGGCATGTGGGTGGGATGTGGAACAGGAGGAAGGTGAGAGTGGGGACGAGGAGGTGAGGGAGGAGTGGGACCAGTTGCGACGAGGAGGGGGATGGGGCTTCAGATGGTGAGACGGATTAGTGGAGGGTGATAGGGAGAGAGAGGAGGATGAGGAAGACGAAGAGGATGGGGAGGAGTCAAACGAAGCCGAAAGGCTGGAGTAGGAGTCACGGGATGTGTTTTGCTGCTGTTGCTGCTGCTCCCTCGTGCTGCAGGGAATAGCATCGCCACACCATTGGCCAGAATAGATAGCATTCGAGTATCTCCCATCACTGTCACTGCAGCACTTGTCAGCATCAGCAAGCAGGTCAATGACCCTTCTAACCTGCACAATACTGCTGAACGATACGCGCCGAACAAGCTTTCGAGTGGCAGCGTAATCCGGGCTCTCCCGTTTTGGATTGAAGCACGAGCGTCTCGGACTCAGGCCCGTCCGACCCTGATCTTCTGATTCGGAGGAGCTCAGCTGGTCTGCAATGGACTCAAAGCTGCCTCTAGGGTTGATTCTAAGGCTGTTGACGGGGCTTATGCCGGGGCTATTGGACAGGTTCAGGCGCAGGACAGGAGCGGAGTATCTACGGACGAGCTCACGCTCGGGAACCACAGTGGCTGATTGTGAATGCTGGATATGGGAAAAGTGGGCGGATGGGAAGCCATTGAAGTGAATACGGTTGGAGGAGGAAGGGGATTCTTTTGCAGAAGCAGAAACAGAACAGGTTGACAGGAACGCAGGAGCCACAGCAGAAACCGGAGAGGAGGGAAGGGAGGGGGTGAAAGGAGGAGAGGTGTGAGTGGAGGGAGCAGCGGAATGAGGCAAATTGGGGGGCGGGGTGAGCTGCCAGAGAGGCAGAGAAGTGCTGCGAGGGAAGCTGCGGGAGGCAAGCGATGGGTGGGAGGGGCGAGGAGGAATGGGGCACCCCGCGTTGGGCGGCATGACGCGCAGGTGACGATGATGATGGCGTCGCTGCCTGCGCTGCTTCTGCTGCTCATCCTGGCGATGCTGCAACGCTCGCGCAACGCTTATCGATGCGCCAGATGCTGATGCTGTTGCTGCTCCTGCTGCTCCTGCTGCTGCTGCTGCTGCTTCTCTTGCTGCTGTTGCTGCTCCTGCTGCTGCTGCTCCTGCTGATGCTGCTGCTGCTGCTTCTCTTGCTGTTGTTGCTGCTGCTGGAGCTCTTCTTGTGATCTGCCGTAGCGCTACCTTCACCTGAGCCGCCTCGCAAGCTGGAAGACAGGTGACATCATGATAGCCTTGGGAGAAGCAGCCGGCCATGATGTTGCAAGGCACGGGGCGCGCCACGGGAGGGCCTCGCGAGATGTGCATGTGAGTGGAATCGGCGCCATGGCGGTTGTTGCTGTCACAACGGTTGTAGCCCCTCGCAGTCCTTGTCGTTTGAGGCCGCGCCTCAACGGTCCTCGTTGTCGTCACACTCTGCATCTGCATAGTAGGAGCCTTGAGGTGGGCTGCCGCCGTCTTGTCGTCAGCAGTAGCAGCACGGGTCTGCTGCTCGGCCGCGCTGAGAACAACCGCCGGATTCATAACACGCCCATGACGCGGCGCCATTGTAGCAGTAGCAGCAGCAGTAGTAGCAGTTGTACGGAGTACGCCGTTAGAGGGACTGCCGAGGCAGTTCGGAGCCGCACGAGGCTTCTAAGACTTTGAGCCACAGTCACCTAGGAGGAGATCTCCGAGTCGTTAGTGACTGAGTGGTGGCTCGCTAGTGACTGAGTCGGAGGTCCCGTCGTGAAGCGGTTTAAGAGTCGGAGTTGGGCTGGGGGAAGGCGGCCGATACTCCAATTCCGAGTCTCGGCGAACGTTTTCCGTGAGAAGAATGTCTCCTCCTCGTGCAGAATAAATGGATATGCTGCCGCTGTTATCATTCTCGCTCGCCATCTTATTTCCGCTGAACCAAGCGATCCGGCCGCAAGCAAATCGCGGGTGTGGGGACGGGGTAGCAAAAGCCAAAAGCCAACAAGCCAAGAAGCCAAAAAGCCAAAAGCGCCAGTGGGGCGTCGTCATCAGGACGGAATTGTGCAAGGAAGCTGCGTGCGCCGCGTCGTGTGGACTCTTACGTGGCGCAATGTGCGCCTCAAAACAAAGTTCGAACGAGGATTGCATCGTGTAAGCCATGGTGTTTGTAGTACTACTCAAGGTCAACGGAATACTGTACAGTGTTGGGCCTTTTGTACCTAAAGGTCCTACGCGAAGAAACCGAGGGCTTTCCAAGAGATCCGTCGCGACTCGAGGTTCGTGATACAGTAATCGAAACGAGTGGCGACTCACGTCACGACGAGCCTGTCCAACAGGCGGCCTCTCACGAGTCTCAAGTGAAACATGGTGCGGCAGTCATGTGACTGCCCCAGTCGAGCCTGTTTTAGTCGTTGGTGCGCGGCTCTGGTCGGCGCGAACGCGGCAATCGCGGTGTCTTATCGTCGAGCTGGTGAGACGCCGTCTCAGCCTGTCATCCACCATTGGCGCCAAACCTGCTCCGGCCGAGCCGCGGGCAGAAACAACTGGATGCCACAAAATCGATGTGATGTCGCTTTTCAGCTGCTACGGTACTATCAATATCATTCGTCCTCCATCGTTTTCTACCAATCCATGAAACCGCGCTGTGACTCGTTCAACGATCATGCTAGCAGGCAGTTCCGGTTTGATAGCTGGGTGGGGAAGCAAAGATTCTATGTCTGACTGGAGGGTGGCCAGAATTGGCACGAGTGTTCAGAGCATGTGCATGTCCATCAAACTCACCACCACTACCACCACCACATCGAGATTTCAATCTTCACCACCACCTTTGCTGACTCGGATTGGAATGGAGCAGTTCGAAACAAGCCATGCCGACACGGGGATGAGTTCTGGTTTGGAGGAGTGCAGTGCGGCACAATTACAGGCAATGCCCAACAGGCCACCACTCAATCCCATTCTGAAGTCCCCACTCGTATGCAAATTACTGTACCGACCATGTTGTTTTAGCCTAAGATCCTAATAAACAAGAATCTATTCGTGCAATGGAACAAACAAGCTAGGAGTCAAAAGAATCTGGTACACTAATCTCAATCTGCCACAACGAGCAAGTGCCTGAAATCCCGTCCGTCCTGCAATCTCCGTTTCACACAACGAGCAAGTGCCTGTACAAGTTGATCACATCTTCTCAATTCATTTCTTCAGGACTTCAACTTCAGATTATGCATCAGGGTGCACTGAACAAAAATTACAATAATGCTCTCAGGGTGCTACAAAGATGCTACATGTACGGTTGTACAGTGCTTATCTTCGTATACCATTCAGTGCTGCCTTACCCTGGCGATCTACCCCAAGCAATGAAGGGATCTGCATGTTAATTTACATGTATAAGTATTACCGTACATCAGCTTTATTCAACACAACACTGCTATATATTCAGACAATCCAGACATACGGTTATGCAAACACAGTGTTTGTACGCTTACGAGACACTCATCATGGCACTCATGAGGCAGTCACAACATGTTCGCTGGTTTGCCTTGCTGGTAACGGTGCTGCTGCTGATGCAGCTGCTGATGCACGAAGCCGTGCGATCAGCCTTCTAGTGGCTGGGGAGGGGAGCATGTTAGTGGAGGCATGAGGGAGGGATGTGGAACAGGAGGAAGGTGAGGGTGGGCACAAGGAGGTGAGGGAGGAGTGAGAACAGTTGCGAGGTGGAGGAGGGTGGGGCTTCAGACAGGGAGACGAAGTGGAGGCTGATGGGGAGAGAGAGGAGGATGAGGAAGACGTGGAGGAGAGGAGTTGCGAAGGGGATGGGGAGGAGTTGAACGAAGCCAAAAGGCTGGGGCAGGAGTCATAAGATGTGTTTTGCTGCTGTTGCTGCTGCTCCCTCGTGCTGCAGGGAATAGCATTGCCACACCATTCGCCACAATAGATAGCATTCGAGTATCTCCCATCACTGTCACTGCAGTACTTGTCAGCATCAGCATGCAAGTCGATGACCCGCCTCACCTGCACAATGCTGCTGAATGACACGCGCCGAACAAGCTTCCGGCTTGCAGCACAATTCGGGCTCTCCCCTGCTAGTTTCGGACTGAGGCACGAGTGTTTCGGACTCAGGCTCGGCCGAAACGGACCTTCTGATTCGGATGAGCTCAGCTGGTCTGCAATGGACTCAAATCTGCTTGTACGGTTGGCTTTAGGGCTGCTGATCGAGCTGGTGCTGTGGCTATTGGACAGGTTCGGGCGCAGGACAGGTGCGGAGTATCTGCGGACGAGCCCAGGCCTGGAAGCCACAGTAGCTGACTTTGAATGCTGATTGTGAATAGGGTTGGCGGAGGAAGAGGATTCTTTTGCAGAAGCAGAAAGAGAAGAGGGAGGCGAGGACGCAGGAGCCGCAGCGGAGACGGGAGAGGAGGGAAATGAGGGAGTGAAAGGAGGGGAATGAGTGGCAGGAGCTAGCTTCCAGAGGGGTAGGGAAGTGCTGCGAGGGAAGCTGTGGGAGGCAGGCGATGAGTGGGCGGGGCGAGGGGGTACGGGGCACCCGCGCCTGGCGTTGGGCGGCATGATGCGCAGATGGTGATGATGAGGACGGCGCTGCCTGCACCGCTCGTCATGCTGCTGATGCTGCGTCTGCCGCGCGGCGCCTAGGCTTGTTGCTGTTGCTGCTCGTGCTGCTGATGCTTCTCCTGCTGCTGTTGCTGCTGCTGCTGCTCTTGAGATACGCAGCGGCGCTGCCTTCACCTGAACCGCCTCGCAAGGAGGGGGCGAGGTGGCATAATCTTGGCAGCAACCGGTTATGATTCCAGCCAGGGGACGCGCCACGGAAGATCCTCGCGTGATGTGCATGGCGTGAGCGTCGCAAGGCGGAGGCCCCCGCGGCGCCGCGGAAAGGCTGCCATGGCGGCTGTGGTAGTAGCCCCTGGTAGTAGTACTAGTATTGGTTGTAGTACAACTAGTAATCGTCCTCGTAGTAGTCCTCGTCGTCGCCCTCCGCATCATTATGTGGGCCGCAGTCTTGTCAGCAGCAGCACAGTGAGGCTGCTGCTGCTCGGCCGCACTGAGAACAACCGCCGCGCTCATTACACGCCTATGACGCGACGCCATGATGGTATAGTACTACTATTGGTAGTAGCGGCAGTAGTACGAGCCTCGAGTACGCAATACGCAATCCGCGACGGGCATCCACAGAAGGAAAGACTCTGAGTAGATATCACCGCCGGTCGGAGGAGATTGCTGGTAGGAGCTCGGAGGTCCCGCAGGCAGCAGGCAGTCAGAGAACTCTCTTCTTGAAGGCTGTTGTGAACTCTCTCGCGCAGACGAAATGGCCGGGATATGCTGCTGTGTTCCTTCTCATGCCGTGATCTTTATCTGATTTCCGCCGAATCGAGCAGATCCGGCTACAACAAGCAAATGGGTGGCGGGTGGGTGGAAAAGACGGGCCCTCCCTCCGGGGGGGGGGGGGAGGGTGGTGGCCAAAAAGTCCAAAAGCGCCTGCGGGACGTCGTCATCGGGACGGAATTGTGAAGGAAGCTGCGCGCGCTGCGTGGCCAGTATTTTCGACTCGTGGCATTGAATATGCCACAAGAACTTGAACGGGATTGCGCGGATTATTGTACGGAGGCGCGAAATCATGGTACTAGTAGTACTAGCACTAGGCTTAACCAGAGGTTCTACCTACGACGACACCGCCGACTTTTGAACTGGAGAGTGATTTGTAACGGGCCGTGCTTGCGAATGGTGAGTGGTGAATCCTGAGGAGTCACGTCGAGAATGGTGGGCTGGGCCGTTACGTGACTGGCCCAGTCGAGCCTGTTTGAGTCATTGAGCCTTGCTTTCTTGGTCGAGCCATCGCGGCAATTGCCGAGCTGGCGAGAGGCCGTCTCAGCAATACACTGCGGTGCACGCGCCCATAGGTGCCGTACCAGCCTGTTCTGGCCGAGCCGCGAAAAAGCAACAGCTTTCATTCCATACGACCGCTTTTTGCTGCTACAGTGCTATCAAAATCATTACTCCGCGTTTTCTTTTTCTGCCAATGTGGTGCTGGATGGAGAAGCAAGATTCCATGGCTGACTGGAGGGCGGCCAGAATTGGCACGAGTATTCTGTTGGGTGCAAAGCACAGCACATGACAACACCAGACTGGCGCTTTCAATGTTCACCACCACCTTTGCTGACTCGGAGAAATAGCATAACGATGGTGAAGGAGAAGGAAAGGGAGAGCATGCGAATAAAGGACAAACTAAACAGTAATATGCTGGGGCAGAGGTCGTTGCACTAAAACATCAAAGCACTGTCAGAGTTAGAACAACACAAAGGGTGTAATATCGGGGATCAATTTCAAGAATGAGAGAACGATGACCCGTACCCTCTATAGCCCTGCCCACTATATCACGATCCACTGAAACTTACAGAAACACATCCACATATGTCAATGCCCTTGACACGTAATAAATTGGAAACATTTCAGGTCCACTGTGCTTTTGCAAAGCCCAAAGAAAGAATTTGCATGTTTATGGAGCTGCCCCAATGAACACACTCACATGTATTGATATTACACTCGTATGACTCAGGGCGCGGTGCTTTTGAGTCAAAGTTCAGAAAACTGTTCGAACTTGATATAGTTACTGACCTCGTGAATGTCGCGAAAGCCTTCGCAGATTACCAAATTAATGTTCGAATATTGACCTGGCAAGTCACGTAACCAAAGAGTCAGTCGACCGCGTGTTCGAACGTGCATTCGAAACGTCCTTCGAACGTGGTCATTTCTGCCCAGTTCAGCTGCCGCACAAACTTGGCGAAGCGTGACGAAATCTACACTAAACATTTCGAGGACGACGCCAGAGCCACGTAGGCTACATCGGGTAACCTACTTGGTATAACGCGGCTCGGAGAGGGTCGAATTTTGACCCTCTCTGGTCACATTTTGACTTACCAGAAATCAGACCCGCGACTCGAACTTCATAAAATCACAATTTCTACTGCACAGTCGAACTATGAAAGGGGTAAGTAGTCGATTGAAAAAAACAAACGTGGGATTTGCGTCAAATGCACCGCGCCCTCAACACAACATTGGTATGTAACTGTGACGAGCTATACAAAGGGTTTTGAGAACTCAACAGATTGCTTTATAATGAGCAGTCTCGATAAATCATGGCATTCATGCACCGGTCACAATTTGCTCGCTCTCCTGCCCTGCTGGTACTGCTGCTGTTGCAGTTGCACGGAGCCGTGCGATCAACCTTCTAGCAGCTGGGGAAGGGAGCATGCGAGTGCAGGCATGTTGGTGGGATGTGGAAAAGGAGGAAGTTGAGGTTGGTGAAAAGGAGTTGAGGGCGGAGTGAGGGCAGATGTGAGGTGGAGGAGGATAGGGCTTCAGATGGCGAGATGAAGAAGTGGAGGGCGATGGGGAGAGGGAGGAGGATAAGGAAGAGGGGGAGGAGGGTAAGGGCATATCTTTGGTTTGGGTCATGGCACTGTTCATCCTACTGTTCGGGTCATGCGGAAATTGCGCATGACCCAAAGTGGCCTTCTGAAGTGTGGATAAGGTGGCATTCTGTGCTGTTTGGGTCATGCGGAAAACGCGCATGACCCAAAGTGGCCTTATGACCCGAACCAAAGATACGCCCTAATTGTAAAGAGGGTGGAAGGTGAAAATTGAAACAAGGAGATATGACGGAGTAGGAGTCACAGAACGCGTTTTGCTGCTGTTGCTGCTGCTCCCTGTTGCTGCGAGGAACAGCACTGCTGCACTTTTGGTGGCAATAGATAGCATTCGAGTATCTCCCGTCAGTGTCACTGCAGTATTTGTCAGCATCAGGATGCATGTCATTGATCCGTCTCACCTGCATAATGCTACTGAACGAGACGCGCCGAACAAGCTTTCGGTTTGCAGCATAGTTCGGGCTTTCCCCTGTTGCTTTCAGACTTAGGTATGAGTGTTTTGGACTCAGGCCCGGTTGAACCGAACCATCTGATTTGCGAGAGCTCGGCTGGCTTGGGCTAGAGTCCAAGCTCCCTCTAGGGTTGGCTTTAAGGCTGTCGACGGAGCTTGTGGTGGGCCTATTGGACAAGTTTGGGTGCAGGGCAGGTGCGGTGTATATACTGACGAGATCAGGCCTGGGAACTGGAATGACTGATTGTGAATGCTGGATGTGGGAAGAGTGGGCAGATGGAAAGACACTTGAGCAAGAGCGAATTGCATCGGAGAAAGGGGGTTCTTTTGTAGAAGCAGAAGTAAATGAGGGAGGCGAGGATGCAGAAGCAGCAGCGGGCACCGGGGTAGAGGGAAACGAGGGGGTGGAAGGAGGAGAGGAGTGACGCGTCGGTTTGATGGGCGGAGCGAGCTTCCAAAGAGGCAGGGAAGTGCTGCGAGGGAAGCGGTGTGTCACAGACAATGAGTGGGCGGGGCGAGGAGGAATCGGGCACCCGCTGGCGTTGGGTGGCATGATGCACAGATGATGATGAGGATGGCGCTGCCTGCGCTGCTCATCATGCTGGTCATCACGCTGATGCTGCTGCGCCTGCCGCGCTAGGCTTGTCCATGCACCAGAGGCCCCTATTGCTCCTGTTGTTGTTGTTGTTGTTGTTGTTGTTGTTGTTGTTGTTGTTGTTGTTGTTGTTGTTGTTGTTGTTGTTGTTGTTGTTGTTGTTGTTGTTGTTGTTGTTGCTGCTGCTCCTGCTCTTGCTCCTGCTGCTGCCACCCCAGGGATATGCTGTGTCTTTGCCTTCACACGAGCCAGCTCAACGGTTGGGGCTGAGGTGGCGGCATGGTGTTGGCAGCCCATGATTCGAGTCAGGGGCCGGACCACAGTAAGGCCTCGCATGATATCTTGCATGCAGCTCCCTTCATGGTGTGCGTGGGATGGAGTGTCATCACAAAGCTGAGGCTGCGTTCTCCTTGCTGGCCTCGCCCCGCGCGCTGCCCCGTCGACCCGCGCGCAGCCCCCGTCGACCCGGGGGACCCGTGCGCGCTGCTTTGTGGACCCGCGCGCGCTGCCATGTGGACCCGTGCGGCGTCCCTTGCCCTCGTGCGCCGCGGGGCAGCTTCTTTCCCGCCCCCTCCCCCCCCCCCCCGCCCCCCCTTCTCCTTCCTCTCCCTGCTGCGCGTGCAACCGTGGGGTGGAGGGTATGGGGATGGCGGGTGTGTGAGCCGTCCCCTGCTCCTCCTCCTCCGTCTCCCACTGCTGCAGCTACTGCTGAGGGGGGTGGGTGTGTGGGAGCCGAGGGAGTGGTGCTAGGGGGGTGTCGTGAGAGTCGAGCTAGGGGTGCAGCAAGGGGTGTGTGAAAGGGGTGTGGGATAGTTGGGGGAGGTTGAACGGAGGTAGCCGTCGTGACGTCAGCAGCGCCAGTAGTCCGGGGGTCACCCTTGCTCCGGTAGCCCAGCGAGCCTGCTGCGCCAGTCGCCTGTGGGTCCGTTGCTCCAGCCGCTCGTCTTAGCCGCGGAGCCAGTGACTCCAGTAGTCCGGACACCCTTGCTTGTGTCCGGTAGCCCGTGCGCGCCGCTCCTTTTGCCCGTGTGTCTGCGGCTTCACCTGTCGCCTCCTATCTCCACTCCTCTCACAGTCCCTCCTCCTCACTTGCCCTCTGTGACTGCCTTTAGTTTTGCTTGTGCTTGTGAACTTTTTATGCGACTACTTGTTGTGCTGATCATACCCCACTTTTGCCTATTGGTGTGAGGATCTAGGATCGAGCTCAGGAAAGAGAATTGTAATTGAATGATTCACCTGGGTACAACACGAGGCTATATATAGTCTCGACACAAGGCAAGTTACCCAGGTGTTACGCGAATGTACTGAGGGTCGCGAAGCGTCCCGAACAGAACCTTGCCGAACTCAGTAGAAAGCAATT